AAAGGATTTCGTTAAGTTTCTCATGATTTCTCGGCAGTACAGATAGAGATTTTAAAAGATTTTCAAAACATTGATTTTGAATGGATGTTAGCCATGCCAAAGTACTCGTCTTTGATGAATGGTTTAGGGGAAAAAGGCAGTTTTCTAACAAAAATTTGTAGCACATTGTGTGTGAGTTATCTTTTAAAATTTCGTTCCAAGTAGGAACTTGATTCTGAAAAGAGTTTGGATAGAGGTGAAAACAGAGACTCTGGATACTGTGAGATAGCGTCTGTGGAAACACGGCTAGTTCTCTAGAATGAGAAATGCAACCTTAATTGAAAAACCTTTTTGCGGAAGCAGTTGTGGACCCAAATGATTTAAAAAACATTTTTAATCTTTACTTGATTCAGAAGATTGATTAAGTACATGCAAAGCATCTATAAGAGCATACTGGAGGGAAAACCTGTTTATTCCACTTGATTACTGTAAGTTATTTACTTATTTTTACATGCTTATGCTTTGATTATCTTTGATGAACAATTCACAAGCATCCACTTCTACTGTTAATAATGATAATAATCTCATTTTATTTTTAGATAAAGAAGATGTTTCTTTTCTGCTTAAATTAGATATAAAATCTGATGTTATATTCCCTATTGGTAAAGAAAAGATTGAAGAAATATATAGAGATATAGATTATAGTTGTAAGAATAATATAGGTTTTGATCCTGTAAGAACTCATAAAGAAATAAGGAAAGTAGAAGATATTATAACTAAACATACGGATATCCAAGAAGAAATTTCAGTAGGATTATTTAATGGATATATAACTAAGAAAGGTCAACCTATAATCTTTGAAGAATTATTAAAATATAAAGAATATTTAAAGGTGTTCAAAAGATTGAAAAATATAGATATAGGACCTGATTGACAATTCCTTAAAAATATAATATAAATCTTGCAAATCATTTCATTAAGGGCAATATAGTACTTTTGAAAAGAAAGGCTATTGTGAAAAATAAGAAGAATCTACTAGCCATTTTCAAAGTTGTCCCACCTGGCATCATCTGATCTATTCAATTAATACAACTAAAGTCGCATTTACAAGAGAAACACGAGACTGCACAAGTAGGGACAAACCGGGCCACATTCAGTTAAAAGGGCCACTCCTTTTTGGGCTGCATCATTGGGCTCCAAAAAATGTCGAGCATAACATCCAACACCTTTCCTCCCTGATGATTTGCTTTCAAAACTTGATCCTTCTATTTTCCCCTTGAGATGTCGAAACAAATTACCCATCTCGGAAGATCTCTTCAATTTTGTGGTAGCTTTCTTGGGATAGAGGTTGTTGGCACCAGCAAGCCCTGGAGGTGGTGCTGGAGTAGTACCATTTACCTTTGACATTAATGGTTGTGGTGTTCCCTCTTATGCACCCATGGCTGGCGGTACTGGTACACCATTTCTTGATGTCATTGGTGGTGGAGGAGTTGGAGGACATGATGGATTTCCAGAGGTAAAAGGGATAGGTAGAGGTGGTGGAGGAGAAGAAGGTAATGATATCGGGTTCTTTGAAGCCAGTGAAGGTGGAAGATGAGGAGGCGGAGGTAAAGTTTGGGACGTTGCTTTGTTTTTCGGACTAATTGGTAATAGTGGTGGAGGTCCTGGTGCAGAATGTTCTTTCACTGACGTCTCAGGAGCATCACCTACAACGTCATGAAACTTATCCATGTCTTTCGTCATCTCACAATATTCAACAACCTCATCCCTACCACTGCATTCACTTCAGAATGCCGTGTTGCTTCTATCTCCGGGTGTTCTTCCTTATGCTTCTCACTTAACTGGAACAAATATCTAGAATCTTGATCTACAGCATGATGGAAAATGTGGAATGATAGGTGCTTTAGATCAATGGGGTTCAGTTTTCTAACCGCTTGAACTCTTAGATGAAGGAGGAAAGGCGAAGAATAATAAGAACTCTTTCCATCCAATGTTATCCAAATATGATTCGGACAAAGCCTTTTCAAATGCATCAACTGGGAAACTGCAGGCCCTCATCTTTTCATCCTCATCCGTAGTATCATATAATCTCTCCCTGGCTAGCTTAATCATGTCCTTAAGCATTGCCAATGCTAGTGATCATCGGAGGAAAATCATTAAGAACAAAGATTTTTCAACTAATAAGGTTAAGACATACCAAGTTTTTTTAGATCCACTAGACTCCATTTATTCGCTGCATTATATTTATACTTGACCATCCATTCGTCATCAGTTGTCCACAAGTCTCCAATTGGTTTCAGAGCTTCACAAATGCAAATGAGTGCCTTTTTTCACAAGATATCAGTAATCAACTTAGCATCGAATATTAGCAAGGTAAAAATCATATTAGAACGAGCATTCATTCAGTGGCTAAATTTTTTAGTCATCAAGAAATGACCTGATGCGGGGACACTCCTTCAAATTCTGACACTGAAACATTTGTTTCAACACAAGGAAACAATTTCTGCGGATCCTTCACGGTATGTATCAGCAACTGTTGGAAGATTAGCCTACTATCCATCATAAGTTGTCACTTACAATAAGAACGTTGAGCCTAAAAGAAAGAGAATTACCTCATTTACCGAAGCAGAACCTGTTGGATTGTGTGTCAATATAGTATAATTTTGCTGACGTAAAAATAACAATAATAATTTTTAATGTTGAATAAAATTATATTTACTTTATTTATTGTATTATTTATTGAGAATGCAAATCAAAGTTCCTGTGATCACTTGTGATAATGTAAGTTGGGTATTTGCATTGAGAAGTAGAGTGTGACACAACTTATATTTTGATCATAAATAATTTGTTCACAACCAATGTATAAGGATTGGCACCCTGTACTAGAAGGTTGTAATGTTAACTCATTCACTATTCAGGTTTGTGATTTGTCCTTATCACAGAAATAATTAAAGGTGACACTAGTACACTTGGAGTGTATTGAACGGACCACGTGTCGAATTTAGTTCTATAGCATGACCGTGCGGAGAATTAAATTCCACTTGACCGCTGTGTATTTCATCTGAATCTTTTGACAAGATTATATATATCTTTTCGCGATTTTAATTGTTCTTTGATTCATCAATGGGTGAGATCAATTTGATTTGTCAAATATCTCGATAAGTTTGGAACTTGAGAATGAACGAAGTAGAGAACATGAATTCATGTCGGGAACCATCATCCTGAAAATGGGTAGAGTGACTACTTGAGTATTTTCTGTTGAACGGTTAAAATCTGAGCTCAGTGTTTAGCAACAGCTAAATTTCGACATCTGTGATTTGTTTACAGGACCGTTGAAGAAAATGAAACTTAAGTTAGTGAGAATAATTAGGGGGGCAAAACGGTCATTTATGCTCGTACCTAATTATCGGATCTCGGACGGGGATAATATATATATATATATGACAGGTCAGAGGAAAGTATTACAGATTTATTGACTTCTATGATCTTATATATTCCGAGGGTTCAGTCTTTTGCCTTCAGTGGAAAAAGCAATAACTAATAATTAAATTGGGTATTCTAGGGTCGACTAGACAGGATCTAATTATTGGAACTTGGAAAATATATGTTCAATCAGGTCCCTGTGGTAGCTCCATAAAGTATTGGAACTTAATTACGGTAATTATAATAATTTTAGGCTTAATTGTAATTACAATAAAGTTTTGTACTTGATTGTAATTACTATGAAAGCGATAAACTTAACTGTAATTGAAGTTCTAGGACTACACATGTAATTATATCTAAACTAATTAGAATTGGACTTAAATTAGAACTCCTACTTGAGTTTTAATTAGAACTCTTGTTTAAATATGGAATTATGATTGTACTAGAATTCTATTGTCTTTTTCTCTATAAATAGAGACTAGATGGATAGAAAAATACTACAACATTCGTGATTTTATAAGATTCAAAATTGTAGAGAGAAAAAGAAAGAGAAAATATATTATTTTCTTGTAGTTCAAAATTCAAGGATTAGTTTCTGGATTAATTGAAAGAAGCTGTCCATACATAGGTGTAGTCTTTACGTTGGAGAATACCATAGAAGGCTTGAAGATTTGAAACACCAAGATTCTTGAAATTAAAGAAGACGAAAGTTTGCGGATCAGAGTTAATTCAAGGTTGATCATTGAACTTAGGTAAAATATTCGAATCCTTTAATTTTGTTATGACATACACGTGAACATCTAGATTATCTTACTTATTGAATAAAAGAAAATTTTAATTTCTAATTAATTCCACTTCCGCATTCTAACAATTGGTATCAGAGCAATCTAGATCGTTTACGTACTTGTTATTTTTGAATCTTGATTGCATGTTCTAGTCGAGTAATGTCTAGAAAAATTTTACATGTTGATTGAATGATTGGATTATTTCAAATTGTGAAGCAATTATTTGTGGCCAGTCTTTGATGTAATTTGTTATTTCGACTCTGTAATAAGATATGTGGATTACGACTCCATCATCTTGATTTAATTTTCTGTACCATTAGATTCAAAATTTGTGAGCCTACGGGACATAGGAATTTATGTAATTCTTGTAAATTCTAGATCTTGTAAATTGATTGAAAATTGAAGAAGAAGGCTTGAAGATGGAGGACCAAAAAAATTTATTTTTTTGATAGTTTGATTGCCTGCGTGGTAGACAGTTTGATTGTCTGTCAGCACGTGCAAACGAATTCATCTGTAATTTGATTTTTTCAAAAAAAAAAAAAATTTAAAATTTAATTACAGGTGCAGTGGCAGAGACTTCCTTGCTATTTTTGGAGCAGCTATTGTTGGATGCTTGGAGATTTTGGACTGAAGATTTAGATTATGTTTTGGGCTTTGGTCCAATTTTTTTCTTTATTTCTTGAATCTTTTGAAGCCACAAATAATTGTTATTTTTATCGCTTTATGAATTTTTTTAAATTGTTGTTTGAAATATTGTCATTTTTTATATCATGACATATAGATTTATTTATGACATCACTCATGATACTATGAATAGGATGCATATGATTTAACGCGAAATTTTTCTTTGATTAATTTAATTTAAATTGAATTTTTCTGGATAGAAAAATTGTAATAATTAAACTGTATATTAATTTAATTAATATGAATAGTTGGTAATTGTTAAAATCCATTATTTTAAAATATTGAGTAGGAGAGGGTGTTTTAAATAAAAGCCCACGGTCTCCTCTGGTCAATCCATAAGCAAAGTAACGCGCTTGCCTCGTGTCGGTAATGCAACGGACTCCCTATAGGAGGGCCGTGTGGTTCAAGTTACTAGATTGAATTTTTTTATGATAAAATCGTCTAAATAGAATATAACTATTGATCATTCCATAGATTGAGAAATTATTTTCAAGTGTTTAGAGATTGAGACAAAAGTTGTACACTCAAATTGAAATTATTTACAAACCTCCTATGGAGGCTCTATTTTAATTTTGGTGACCAAATAAAACAATGCTAAGCTTAATATAGACATTTGTTGTCGATATATTTTGTTTAGTGGGAGGGTCTCAGCTTGATCAGTGGACACATTGACCTTTCCTATAGAGAGGCATGTTGGATCACAGGGATCAAGTCATCGTTGCATTATTGTAGTTAGATGGATCTACACATGCATTCATGCGTCATATGCTAAATTCTCATTTGCTGCTCAATTTTAATATGCAATAAATTGTTATTTTTTAGCAAAATGTCTCTCAGTGCTTTTTCTGTTATTCTAAAACAAAACCAACTTGTTAGGGATAATTATGTGGATTGGAAATGTAATTTGATGTTTGTGCTTATTCTCGAAAAACTTGATTTTGTGCTCGAAGAAGAATGTCCCGAGGAACCTACTAAGACTACAGGCAAGTCCAAGAGGGCTGCGTATGATAAGTGGATCGCTGCTGACAAGATGGCTCACTGTTACATTTTGGTATCTATGTCAAACGTGTTACAGCAAAAGCTTGAAAGTCAGGAGACCTCTTATGACATACTAGAAAGCCTGAAGGGCATGTTTGGACATCAAAGTAGGAGGGCTCGCTTTGAGGCCATTCGTACCTTACAGAACATCTGTATGAAACCTAGAATGCCTGTGAAGGATCATATGTTGACATGATTGCACACTTCAACTTGGCGGAGAATCTGGGTGCAACTATTGATCAGGAAACTCAAGTTGATGTGGTATTGAATTCTTTATCTGATATGTTTTCACGGTTTACTGTGGACTATCACTTGCCATTAACTGAGTTGATGAATGAGTTGCAAAATGTGGAAAGTGGTTTCAAGGGTAAGGGTGACCATGTTCATGCGACAATTGCTAGCTCCTCTGGCTCCAAGTCGAAAGGCGGAATTGGAAAGAAGAGGAAGAGATCTAACAAGAAGCCAGGAAGCAACAAAAAGCCCAAATCAGATGGAACGCCGAAAGGCAAGTGTTTCCACTGTGGTCGCAAAGGACACTGGAAGAAAGACTGCCCTGATGCACTAGCTAAAAAGCCGGGTGTTGGTGAGTTTTTTATTGCTGAGTCATGTTTGGTGGTTGATTCTACAAAGTCCTGGGTTGTAGACTTTGGACCCACTAATCATATATGCATGTCTATGTAGGTGCTTCAGGAGAGCAAAAGACTCAGTGAGGGCCAGTTTAAAATTACTGTCGGCACAGGAGCTATAGTTTTAGCAAGAGGAGTAGGAGTAGTTTAATTTTATTTCAATAGTGGTAGGCGTTTAATTCTTAAAGATTGTTATTATGTCTCGCGAATGAAGCGGAATTTGATCTCTGTTTCTTGTTTAATAGGACATGGTTATTCTGTAAACTCTGCGCATGAAGCGCTTTATATTTTAAAGAATAAAGCTCCTATTTGTGCAAGATATTTGGTGAATGGTCTTTATATTTTAAATTGTGCCACAAATGAAATAAATGTTACTTCTGTAAACCATGAACGAATGTCTAACCATACTAGTGATACTTATTTATGGCATCTTAGACTTGGACATATTAATCTTAACAGAATAAAAGATTGGCTAGAGATGGTCCACTTAACACACTTAAGGTCAAACCATTGCCAGTTTGTGATTCTTGTTTGGAGGGTAAAATGACCAAGGAATCCTTTCTAGCAAAAGGACATAGAGCTAAAGAAGTATTAGAATTAGTTCATTCTGATGTATGTGGACCCATGAATACACCTGCGAGAAGGGGTTATGAGTATTTTATCACTTTTACCAATGATTACTCTAGATTCGAATATATCTACCTAATGACTCAAAAGTCAGATGCTTTTGAAAAATTCAAAGAGTATCGGGCTGAGGTCGAAAAACATTTGGGTAAGAGTATTAAGACACTTCGATCAGATCGAGGTGGCAAATATCTCTCGGAAGAATTTAGGGACTACTTGACAGAAAATGGTATTGTTTCTCAACTGAGTACGCTGCGTACACCCCAACAGAATGGCGTTTCAGAAAGAAGAAATAGGACATTGTTAGACATGGTTAGGTCAATGATGAGTTTCGCAACTCTACCTACCTCATTTTCGGGATATGCACTGGAAACAGCAGC